ATGATGACTGCACAGAGGAAACAGGCAAAGACTGTAAAGCATCAAAAAAGCCACCAATTGGCAAGACTGCATGTCTGCTCCCTACACAATATTACACAGGATAAAACAAGGATTAGGGAGGAAGTCATCCCAGTTTGCAGATAACTACTGACAGGTACCAAATACTCAGAAACCACATCTGGATCAGGATGTCCTTGAGGAGGGCTGTGAGAGTCTTTGTGCTTGTATGCGGAAGGAAGTATCATGCTATTTCTTTGTTCCCTAGCATCTGCTGTTGACATCAGACAGGTCAAAATTCTGATTAAGTGTCCTTCTGGCTTCCTCCCATGGCTACATTTATGTTTAAGGTGGTACAAACCTAGTACTTCATTCATACAAGAAAGCTGCAGTACTTTTTCCTATTTTTCTTAAGAGCAGTATAGAAAGTAAGAATTAATTTTCACCACTACACAACCTTAACAGTGGTAAGTACAAGACTGCTAACTCCCTGTGATTCTTGGGAAAGGGGATACACTTCAATTCCAATCAAATGAGGTCCTTACTGTGCCATCTCAATTATGTCTAAGTGGTCATGAATCACTGGGCAAGAACAGCACAATTTAGTCAGCTTAACGTACTTCGGTACGTTTAATTCCCTTAAAACACCAAACTTTTTAAAGGATAATTTTGTTGTTCTCTAAAATAGAGCAGGAGCCAAAGAAATAATCTAAAGCATTGATTTTTACAGCAAACACACTGGAGGAAAAAGAGTTACTGCAGCTCAAATATAATCCTTAGGGAATGTTTCTGTTTGCATTCAGACATGGAATGCCACCATACATCTAAAGAGGGTAAGCCGATTTCTTAGTGCTTTAACTATTTCTTTTAAAATGACATGTCAGAGCCACATTTTCTATTTGGACGAATAAATCAAATGCATAATAATCTCTTCATGAAGAGATGTTAAGAATTCTTGGCATGGAACCTCTTTCCAACACTTAACTGTTAGAAGTGACCACTGAACCAGTCAGCAGCACTTCATTGAGCCATTCGAGCCGCCTCGCTGCTGAACAGGGATGTTTTTCTGTGGGTGCAAGGGGGGTTCAGAAGGTTGGATCTTCCTGTACAGTGACTCTCTAAATAAACAGTATTAGCACGTTCATTTACAAATTCTACAGCATAGAATGAGCTACGTAAGAAGTGTCTGACACTACTTCACGTATTCTAAAATGCGACATGCAGATTTTTTATCTATTGACATATTCCGATTTCCACACAGATGTAACTATTTTCTTTTCACATAGCAGTCAGTATTCCTGACCAATTTTTGGCCTGGATCAGTTCAACAGCTAATCAATTCTAAAACAACCTTGGGAAAGCTAGAACCCTAAAAACCAAAAGCAGGAAATAACCCAACAATCAATAAAGGAGGCACAAGGGAAGCTTCTGCCCCATTTAATATATCCACAACTTCAAGTATGTACACTACACCGGTCGGAGGTGAAAGAACCTGCCAGTTCAACCACACTTCTCAGCATTATAACTAGCTCCCATTTCTCATCCTCCCAGCACAACACAATGTGCTTATACTAAAGGGCTAATCTGCCTGAAAACTTGTGCACAACAGCTGCCTACTGACACACACCCACACAACCTCCTTCTTTATTCATTCTCATAATACCTAATTATCAGAATGGCAGGAAAAATGCTAGCAGTAGGAAACAAACATGCCTCGACAGGGGAATGAAGCAGAATACACAAAGCTCCGAGAGAGAGAGGGGAATACAACAGCAAATGAGAATTGGTAAGGTAAGAGGAAGGGATTCACACAAAACTTGTAATGATGGTAGAGAAAACAAACTATCAGCAATAACGAAATCTCAAATAAGAAAACAGTGGTAATTTGCTAAGATAGCCACCAGTCACAGAACTGTGCCATGTATCAAATGCACAGCACTAAAACTTATGAAGCACAACTTCCCATTATCACAAGTTGGCACAAAGATTTGGTTGTTCAGATACAAAGACAGCATTAAAGAACGACTTCTGTTTGGATAAAAATATATCGTTTAATTCGTTTTCCACTGGCTACATCTAGATCACAGTTGGTATTAAATTAACTTGTAATAAAAATCTGTACCAAGTACAATGTAATGCTATATACTTTTTACATATCCATTATAATACATTGATAATATTGAGATCATACAGAATTCAAGCAACCATTGCAGGAATAAAAAGAATTCCAAACATATACATACTCATATACATACTCATGTACCCAATGTACAGCAATGTACAGCACCTAAAATGAAATGGGACCACTGTTACGGAGCTGAAGAAATCTAGCCTGACAGTTATAACACCAAGCCCACACACAGTTATCATACTGGTTTAGATTCTTCCCAGGAAAATTACTGCCAAAGCTAGTCTACAAGTGACAATACAGCATCACTATGCATGACTAAGAATGCTTTGCTGGCACTGAAATTCCATAGATTGTGTCTGGTAACTGGCAGTTTCTTAGTACATGGATTTTAAATCCCTGAAGTCTTAAAACTTGCCTCACAAAACAGCTATTTCAACCAAAGTACAAGGCTTCAACCTGACAGCACCTAAAAAGATTTTCATTACAAGTTTTCAAGAAGTTATTTTAAAAATGATTTTAAAACACTCAAGGTAGTTTTAAAAGAACATTTAAATATGGAACTTATTTAAAACCTATTTTTGCTATTAGCCCACAGCTCAATATCAAAGGAACACATCTACTAATAAAAGCAGATTTGACAAACAGAAATGCCATGTACAAATTCTCCTGTTCGAGGCATTTTGCCTTTAGAAGGATTGAGTCCTTACAAAGAAGCAGTATCCAATATCTGTGTGCTCAGGTTTGAAATCCTTTAGCCTCTTAAGCACAAAACCAGAAGTCCAGGCCTGTATCGGAACATTTCAGATAAAGTAAGATGACATAATTGCAGCACTATGAAGTCTGGAACATCTGAAACAACTTCAGAGCATCTGATCCTCAGCTTCCAGCACAAGGAACCAAAAAGCACCACTGCGTAACAGGGCAGAGGACAATCTGAAACAATCTGTAGTCAAAGCATAAAGAAACAAATAGGTGTAGGAATTGCAGAAGCCATGAATGGCAATGCTACCTAACAAACAACTGCAGTTATTGATTCACTGTTCCTAACTTCTGAGCGAACAGAAAGAAATTAACCTATTGGATATTAACACTGTAATTTCCATTTGGTTAGGCCTGTGAACATACATTCACACGCTCTTGTCAAAAGCTTCATCTTACTCCCTTGCTTTTGTACATGCAGAATAAAGATAACTGGGATTAAATCACATGTGAATACTGAAGATCAAACCTCCATGTCTAGATAGGACAGGAGGGAAGGAGTCAGGAGGTACTTTAGACAATCTTACAGGCTGTTCTGAGCAAATGTCACAAAACAGTTTAATCTCTAAAAAGCCCACCCCTGTGGAATCAGCACAAACCAATGAAAATAGTTCATAACTAAAAAACATTAAGTATTTGAAAACAGTTGCAACAGTCTCATCAAGTAGGCAGTAAAATTCGTCTTGTCCTAAAATAGCTTTAAGACGGACTTTGAACAAGTGCGAAGCAAAAAGTCACAACTACAAATAAAATCTTAAATCCAGATAAAAACTACACACTAACATAACGTATAACTCAAACATAGTAAACAAAAGCAAACAAAACCAACACGTCCCAAACAAATAACAAACCACTTTAACTTCAAAGCCAAGAATGGCACTCCTATGACCAAGATTCTGCCCTGAGCTCAAGAAAGCTATCATAACTGAAAGAAGAAAAAAAGTCAGCAATGGACTGCCAATCACAACTACCTCCATTTCCTTTCACAATGTAAACAGCTGCTCCTTCTACAAATGAAATTGAAAAGCCACAAACAGCTAGAATAATGAAAAGCTTAGAAATTATGAAATTTAAATGTCTCAAAAGAAAAAAAAAAATCTTTTCATGCATTGTCTGCCTCTTCTCCAAAAGAAAATCAATCATCTCTGTAAGAAACCCTTACCTTCAATATTTATTTTCACTGGAAATTGCTGCATTTTGTTAGAACATTCTACAGATAATACATGAATGTCATTTGATTACTAACTTGAACTGTAATAAATTTCTGAATTAATCCTTTTTGCACTGTCTTACCATTAGGACAAGAGAGAAATGAGTGCATCCAGAAATTTGCTCCTGTCTTCTGTTTTCAATTCAATTACTAAAATACAAAATACTTCGTTATGTGATGCAAATAACTGAAAGACGTGTCAGGTGTCATACAAAGAATGTTGATTCCTAGTATAGTTATTTATATTCCTAGCCAGCCTTAAGAAAGAAAAAGAGAAACTATTTGTTTGGGCAAAATGCAACATGCATTGTCTATTCCAGCAAACTCACATTTCTAGGCGCTCACTACAGGGTACAGCCACTAAGATTTAAACCTAGGAGTTTGTTTTATGCTCGATGTGCAAACATAATCAAAGAGTGTAGAGTTAAAAACCGCCTCCTTTAAAAGCACACACAAAGCTGGGAAAAATCTCACTGCATTAATGTTTTGTTTTTCAAAGAGTCAATATGGAATAAACCTTGTAACATCAATACCTTATTGGCTTGGCTGCTAAATACAAAAATTCTCACAGATATCCTCGTAGATTGTAAATGAAGTATATATATGAAAATCATTACTCTGTGCAATTTTTAGATAAGCAAGCCCCAAAATGATAAGCAAACTTCTGTACCAGACAAGACTTAAAAAACAGAGAAGAAAAAAGATCAGCAAACTAAGATGCAGTTTGTATTCATACTAGATTCAGGAATAGTGTTATCATGTATGCACACTCAACGTTTGCATTTAAGACATACAGAAATGAGTAAATGGTCTACACTCATTATACGTGGAGTCTGTGTGAACACTGACCCCTAAAGGAATAAAGGTGAATGAATTATGTGAAATGAAAATGGCATTACTCACTGGACATGTCAAAATGGTTGTGTAAAGTCCTGGAATTGGTACTGTCAGCAGCTTTCTCAAACGCTCTTCCAAAAAAGCTGCAAGACGAAAAATGAAGTTAGTCACGTGTTAGAAGGTACCATCCACTAAGAGATATAGCTCTCTTTTAAGATAAATACATAAATAGTTAAGATAGAGGAAAAAAATGTACAAGGAAACGGGGAACACATATATCCTCTCTAAGTACCTCATGTATACCATAAGCAAAAGTATCTTTTAGGAAGGACGCAGGTCAAGTCAAAACATACAGTGTTAAGTAGGTACAGGAAAGATGTAGCTGTTTCAGAGACAGGAAAAGCGTATGGATACCTTCAGTAAGAACTTTCAAACAACATTCTTACTTCTTTTTGTCAGAGCTTTCTGTCTCTGGAGGAATCCCCACCATGATCACAGTTCCCTGTTCAACATCCATTGGTGCAGCCATTATCAGTGGCAGTAATTTGCAGCGCTTGTTTTTTGTCTGGAAATCAGAAAGGTTCTTTGTGCTAAGAAGTTTCCCAGGAACAGAATTCATAACGGTGCTAAAATTATTCAAACAATCAGCAGAAAAACTTTTAAGATGATATGAAAACATTTTAGTCATTAACTGTAAGTATCCAGCAGAACAATAACTACTACAAAGGCCAAAAGTTACATTAAACCTGATTTACTTACAGAGCAAACGAAGGATTTGAGCAAGTATTTACTAAGCAGGCACAGAGATATTGGTTTAGAAAACAGTTTCACATCTGGTGTACCCTAGGAAAACAAGAATTATTTCAATTACAACACAAGATGATTAATTCCATTCATTGATTTAAATTTTGATATCTACTGACACAGCTAAAAGCTTTGCATCGTTCAAAGTACACTAAGAACCATTACGGCAAAGGAATTTGACATCTCCTACTTTACCTGGTGACCAAGCTCTCTCCTTTGAGAAAACGGATTCTTTCTTTGTGAATTACAGAGCAGATGTCAATAGTGACCCATGAGAGACAGTATAATATAGATAGAGCCTTTCTGACTTTCTGTTGGCATCATTATTATTCAGCCAACAGTTAGGAAAACAGCGCTATTCAAATCAGAAAAGACAAAATATGACACTGAAATATGAGATGGTAGAAAAATAGAATTCTGACCTCCATGAGAGAGCAATAAAGAAAAGGCCCTTGGGAAATAACAAGGTTGGTGCAAATGCAGCTGGCTACTGTCTGCTGAATGGCACGTAACTGCTTTTTGGCTAGGTCCAGCCCTTGGTGCAGTTTGTCCAGGTTACCTCTGCAAAAGACAGAAGAAAAAATAAACGCCTTTATATAGAAATGTAAAGCTTTTCCATGCATAAGTGGGACATTTCTAAATCCCTGTGGATAATTTTTCTTTTATCTCTTATGAAGCATCAATGCAGCTTTTAGATATTTAACCCACGTTCCCTAAATAAAATTGTAAAAGAACAGTGAGAATTTTTTGTACCTGGAGAGACTGTCCAAAGCTTTAATGAAATTAGTTGTTTCAGGCCCCTCTTTCTCTATGCTCTCCATGAGAGAAGCTGTGGCATAAACAATATCACTTGCTAAGAACTTGTTCTTAAAGCCAAAGTGAATGCTGAAGGTCTGAACTCTTAAATCCCTCATTCTGTAAAATGAGATAAAAATAATCAATGTTTTCAGCTGGTCATCATTAATAACATTATCTCTTTGGTGTGTTAATGTTAAGAACATGAAGATTAATTAAGATTAATTTCACTCTAATATTTGCAAAGAGTCTAATATTACTTTATCAATATAAATTCCTTTTTTTTTTTTTTTAAGGAGACATTCCATCCGCTTCATATAAAAACATTTAAATTTAATTGAAAAATATTTTCAGATAAATCACTTGTATTTAAAATAATTTACCCAAACTTATTTGCTGATTCTTCAATCATTTCCCGAAGATTTTCTTTCAAAGACATGTCCATGGAATTAAACTTCTGTTTCACTTGTTTCAAAGGCAAACTGAAAACAGAAGGAAAAAATCACCAACAGATAAGGAGCCAAAAGAAACAAATATTCTACATTGCTTTCATAAGGCATTAAGATCTGGTAGTTTAGCAAGCAAAGTCTGACTGAGCTTGTTCTCCTCTAGTCATTAAAGAGCAGGCATAAGAATGCACAAGTCACTTTCAAATCGACTGTTCAGTAAAGGCATACAGCTGAATTATTCTTCATACAGTAAGACACAGTTGCACAGCTCAACTGAGACTCCACAACCAACTCACAGCCCTACAGTCACATTTAAAAAACAACATACTGAGTACCTGTAAGCTTAAATAACTTGACTCTAGTCTGAATAATTTTATATAACCCAGTGAAAAAATGATCCCTTAATTGAGAACCAAATTTTTAAAACTCACCCCATGTCAGCCAAAAACTCCTGCAGCCGCTTCTGACCTTGTACTGACCAGAGCTTGAGGTTAGCAGAGGTATATGATGTATTACAGAGACTTTCATACAGAGACCAGTGCTGATAAAGTGCCAGGCGCAGACTGAACAGGAATTATAGAAAATAATTTTAAGCATATATATTCTTTGAAGTTACAGACAGTTAGAGAACTCTAACTAGCAGGTGCCTTCAATTGCCCTTATGTATTGTATGTCTAAACGTTGTGAAAAGATGTAGGTACATGTAACACCACAAGACAAGAAACCCTGACATCTAACTAGATCTGTAGAGTTGAGCTGAAGTGAAGCTATACAAGATACTGAAAGAGACTCATGTTCAACAGGCCGTCCACATTTTCTTTTTTTTCTCTAATTCTGTTCTCAGCAGGAAAGCAGCTTGGGATTTTTTTCTGTTGATATAAACTCAGCTGGGGCGCATCAAGTAGGCAGGGTTTGATTTTGCCAGATTTAAGGCAAGGATACTCGTATTCAAATGCTATTCGCATGCAATCAATGGACAGGGAATTTTCCTCATCCTCATTGCGGTGGTTATGGCGAGACACGTGGCGCTGCAGGATTCCAATATCAGTCACATACTTCATTCTTAAAAAAAAAAAAAAAAAAGAAAGAAAGGTCACTTGGCTATCTTCCTTTGTATCATTATATTTGAATAGGAGAACACAAAATGCTTCCTGAAGATTACACTTTCATCAGAAAGCAGCACAGAAAACCACAGGCACATCTCAGAAGAACAACTTGCTAATAGTCTCTCAATACTCAGCTATACACCCAGGCAATTAAGGTTAAAATAAAACACACTCAGACAGACAGAGCAATGAATCAAATCCTAATTACATTTATCTTGTTACAGAGATCAGTGTATTAGTAAAAATAGAATATCAGATGTAAGGTTTGCGTGTGTACTACTTGAATCCTGATGGTATCTCATAGAAAAGAAATGGGTTGAGAAAGGAAAAGAATTGGAACTTGTCTTTTCCAAAATAGGAAAGGAAACAGGAGTCTACAGAACATACAGATTTGTTCCCTGTAAAAAAAACTGCATCAGTCACACTGATATAAGCTACTAGTGAACACCATTTCTTCATTAGAAGTTATTTTTCACTATTTTATAAAAGCCAAATAAGTTTACAAATTCCAAATAGTCGAAAAGAGTTTCTCTGAAGTATATTCCTGTTTTTATAAGGCACTAGATTGCTTTTAATCATAAATATATTTAATGCCATTTTTCATAATTGTGCAACATTAAATTCCCACGTTTTATGAGCTTATATAATTGCTTGTATTAGTTGCTAAAAAAAAAAAAAAGGGAAAAAACTTTCTTACTGGGTAATTTTATCTTGGACCCACTGATCTGTTAGGCCAACAATAGCCCACCTGAAATCGGGAAAACAAACAAACAAAAAGTTAAAAAAAAAATCCTGGAAGGTGTATTATATTTAAATATTTAAGTATGTAACAGAACAAGTCAGAAACACTATTCATCAGCTGTGCATAGAAGTCAGTTACAAGGTTATATGCTCTTATTTCTAATCCGTTACGCAGCTGGGTCCTCCAAGTTAAGACAGACATTCACATAGGAAATAAGCTGCTATCTCATGCTGAAATCACAGTTTGGGAAAATCTTGCATCTTTTTACTGTGCAATTATTTTCCAGCCTTTACAAGAAGTGGTAACAGAAACATACCACAACATGTCATTCAAGTCTTTAGACATTATCCACGCCAGATCAAACATCACCATCGCAGACTACAAGAAAGGAAAGCAAAAAGAGGGGGTAAATGAACACAAAGTTCTCACTTCATTATGCAAACAGAAAACTTAAATTTGCCAATCTACAAGTCATGATTGAGTGTGACAATCTACCAGCATCTTACTTTAAAACATCAAGTAAACAGAAAAGTATTTTATAAAGCTCTGCAAGTCTGCAGTTTGTAACATCTGAAATATTCTGACACATTCAAAACTTAGAAAGGCAAACAAGCTCCCCATATCTTTAAGTCTTTGCACAAAAGTACTCTTGTGCATAGACGCACTTCTACCAAAATAAAAATGAAAATAAAAATCCACTGTTAGTTTTTCTATACTAACATTAAAGATATCAAGCAACAAGAATGTTAGTAGTTCTGTTCCAGCTTTTTTCTCCCACTGTTAACACTGTATTACACACTGCCACGCAGCTGCCATTACCTCCCCAGCCAACTGGGATGTTTCTGGGACATCTCTAATTCATTAACAGGAAAAACAGATGTACACAGCCAGAAAACTTTAGTAAGTCACACTACTTGTTTATCCATTACTCGTCTTACCATAAATAATAAAGACAATTATGTAAGTCATTTACAAATTATACTAAATTAAGGTGATTGGGTAATATCCAACATCAGAATTACTGGCACCTTGTGATTTTGTGGAGAATGAGCTGATACTTACTGAGGTCCCATGGTATTCATATTGCTCGTAATCAAAAAGAATTTCACGTCTAAAAGAGGAAAAAATAAGTGTGACTGAGTGGAAAACCAGACTTATCCAATTCAAAATATAAACCTGAGCTGTGAAATAATTTCATTTCATTTTAGCGATAAATTTGGAAAAAAAAAATTAATCCTTGATTCCTCAAATTCTGTTTCTTTTTTTCCTGATCATTTCATTTAAAAATACTGGGATTACAAAGAAAGAGGTTCAAATTTCATCCTAAGATAGACAAGCTAATAGCACTGCTTAACAGTGAAGCTCTGCACCTTTTGCTCTTTTATTTATAAACAATTACTTACAATTACCATCCACATAAACATTTTAGTTTTTTGCATATATAAATACATTTCTCCATTTTCTGCAAGTTAAAACCAAAGCATATTGCACACAAAGTACCGCAGTACCAAAATGTGCAAAGAAAACATTGGATGTACACAACACAGAAAACCTGAAGCTCACCTGCGTGCCTCCCATTCTCGCCTTTGTCGCCTTTTCATTGTTCTCTCTATTACCTCCTGCAAATTAATTTGGACATTAAAATGCTAAAAAAAAAAAACCACTCCAATAAGTTAGCACTTATCCAGTTAGTTAAGTGACTAACTCTTCATTAAAAGAGGAATTATTTCTATTTATGATATTTAACGGGAAAAAGAATTATCATTAAACTTTTCCTAGGAACATACTCAAAGTCACGTCATCTTCCTATGCTAGCACTGATTTAGCTAATCTACATAGATAAAAGGAATTTCAATACTACCAACACTGCATCTTACCATTTTATAACATAAAAATGACACTGATGAAAAATAAAGATCATTAATCAAGCTTGGAACAGAGGAACTCGGTGTATATTTATGCTCTCTAAAAAGCATCATCATCTTCAAAACTCAGATCAAAGAGATCTATGTACAGTACTTCACAGATTCAAAAGCAGCTTTTGCACATGCTGGTTATGATTTGTCTTTCATTTTCTAGTACTGGTTCTTCCTGAGTAAGTACTCTCCCGGATTAGGAGGAAGAAGTGTATAATGTTAATAGAACCAACCAATAGAACAATAATCTATACAAAGTTTGAGAATGTTTTTAGATCCAATAGGATCTGTTGCTAGCCCTGTGCCTTTGCCTCCTTGCTTGATAAAAACAGGTGATGTGCTACAAATAAAACATGTTAAATTGACTTGTTCATGCCTGTACCACAATATACTTGTGTTAGTTTACTGCCCCAAAGGCAGACAAAATATATTTCTAAATTGTTTGTGAGCTTTTATCTTCTCAAACAATTATTGCAAAATACATAAAAAATAGTTTATATCTAAATTGGTTGTTTTGCTGAACTCAAAAGTCCAGAGCACATAACCAGAGAGAAGTCTCCTGGGTTAAGCAATTACGTGAGGACAGAGTTACATACTCAGTAACTAATCAGTTTTAACACGTTTTGATAAGCAGAAAATATTTCAGTGCAAATCAAAAAAACAATCTGTGCAAGTGAAACTCTAGTCGCAGAGTATTTTTTACTCACACACTTAATTTTATACCAATTTTTATATGTTATTGCCATTCCTTATCTGCTCTAAGGACTTATAATAACTACTTTATTTTCCTTTTTCAGAAAATGAAGCATGAGAAACAAACCTCTTCAAACCGTCTGCGCTTATCTGAAGGCTCTGAGCCATCACTTTCATTCTCTGACTCCTCTTCTTCGTCCTCTTCATCTCTGAAGATATCATCATAAGCAGGAACATCAAGATCATCATCTTGCTTAACTAACAGCTTAATCTAGCAAGAATAAAAAGATATTTTTCAGCAAGGTACCATTTCAAACAACAAATGAGAAAGCTTCAGAAACTTCAGAAGTGAAACAGAAACCTCATTTTGGCTGTTATCCATTCCTGGTATTAAAAAGCAGTACTTGTGTTTTTACGAAGAACGTGCTTATTTATCCAACACAAGAGTAGAAATTGCATTCTTCTTCAAATAAATAATATCACAGAGCATTGCATGGAAGAACTGTTCGTGGCTGTTACACACCGTGGGATGCTTATCTTCTGATTTGTACCAGTGTGAGGTGCAGAAATAGATCTAGGTGCTTACTACTGACAGCTATCACAGCACTAGCTGTATACATTTTTATAACTCAAAACAGTATTTTTTCTGATCTAACAATATTAGTGGATGTCTGCGTCAGTAATGCTCATTTTCTGGCTGCTAGCAATTCTGCAAAACACAGAAAAGCACTGGGGTACCCTCCCACCCCACAGAACAGAAACAGTTTGTTAGAATACAAGCTGTAAGAAAAGCTCAGCTTACCTGTGTCTCATTGTAAACATTCACTATATTGATAGGTCTGTGGCTGTCACACACAAAAAAATAAGTGTCTTCTTCAGGCTGCAAGATCTCCAACAGGTCAACATTGGCACCACAATTAATAAAAACAAAATATTTGAACTGCAAACAAAACCAAAACAAACACTTTTAATTTTAATTAGTGGGAAATGCAAAGTACTGCAAATACCTACACAAAACCCCCAAAGCACTCACCACTGCCAAACCAACATTTACTTCCTGGCATTAGATGACCCAAAGAAGGAAAAACGTGCAAGACAACAGACCATACTTAATTAGGACATTGGACACCCAATACCACCACCTCTCACATCCCAAAATGTGTGCAAGCTGAAGTTGAATCAATAAGAAATGACCTGATATTAATAATAATAATAATAATAATAATAATAATAATAATAATAATAATAATAATAATAATAATAAAGACCTTGACACATTTGGAAGCAGTATATTAAAACTTAACCACTGTGCTGAGGTAAGAAATCATATAAATTACATTAAGAGCTGACATTTTAAGTTGGGGAAAGGACAGAAATACGTGTCTCTATACAAAGAGCTGCAACTTTTCTTTTTACCTGATCTTTATGCTCAAGAAAGGCAGTTTCAAGTTCTTGCCATCCAGACACAGGGACTAGCGTATACTGCACGTGATCACATTGAAACAAAGCCTGAAATGAAGCAAACAGCTGTCAGCTATGGTGGGAAACAATCTCTTCCACATTAGTGCATTGCGCTATAACTCTATTCCATACAAATCTTTGTCTTGGAGACATCCAAGCTGACAACTTGACATTGAATCTGAGAGTATGGCTTACTGAGAATCCATGTTATGATTCACAAAGAAAACATTTCACAAAATCAGTTTAAACTTTTATCCTTTTCTGAGTTCAAACCCATTCTAAGAATCCCAGTGACTTTCTCTTGTGTAAGCCTGCAGTGGTAACGAACAAACACTTACTTGGAGTATTTTACAAGCACATAATGCATCAACGTCTGAGGCCACAAGAAGAAGAACTCGCTGCAAAAATAACAGAGTAACAGCATTAATATATTAACGAAGGGGAGAAATTCAGCAAGCTGGTATATGAGGTGTGTGACTGGGGGATGAGAAAGGGAGAAATTTAGGCAGAGATCGCTATAAGCACGGAACAGGACGGATCTAAAGAGGCACCGCAACAAAAGAAGCGATTTGGATCCCAGTAAACGTGAACAACGAGCAGCCCCGCTTAACGCGGTGAAATCACACCCAAAGCGCCCGTGGCTCGGCGCAGTCGCGGCCGTGCAGCCCCCGCTCGCAGCCCGGCGCGGCGCTGGTCGGAGCCGGGCGCTGCGCGCCTCAAACGGGCAGAGCTCTCAGCATCGGGAACGGCCTCTGACAAAGAAAGTCTGGGGCAAAAACAGGGCTGAGGAATGCCGGATCCAGCCCACATCCGGGTCAGCTTATCTTCTGCTTTGTTTTCGTGCGAGGGTTCCTTCTCAAAGCCGGAGCAGCTGGGACAAACGCCTTCTATCGCACAGTCAGTGAAAGTTCCGCGGGCAGAGCGCGACGGAGCGGCCAAGGAAAGAAAGCCTTCCCGCTTCGGGCCGCGGGGCAAAACCGAGCTTCGAGGAAAGCGGGCGGCAGGGCTCGCTGCGGGGCGCGGGGTAACGCGGCTCCGGCAGGCAGCGTTACGGCAGTTAAAAAGGTACTTTAAAAAGGAGAGAAAAAAAAAGAAAAAAAAGTAGGGATGCCTCTGTTAAACAAAGGACCGGCAGATCGGCGCTGCGCTGAGCGCAGCCGGCCCGAACCGCGCGCTCCCGCACAGCGCTCCCGTCCCGCACAGCGCTCCCGCCTCCTCCCGAGCGCAGCCCGCGATTCCCCCCGCGGCCTCGGGACGAGCGGGGCGGTCGCCTCAGTCCCACCGCTGACCGAGCCGGGCGTTCCGCGAGGCGGTCCCGGACAGCGGAACGGGGAGAGGCGCCCCGCCCGCCTCCTGGGGCCCCGGTGCCGCGCCGCCCGCACCTGGCTAACGATCACGTCGTAGAACTCCCGGCGGCAGTCGGTGACGAACATGGCGGCAACGAGGAGAGCGCTGAGGGAACGGCGGCGGCCGCGAGCCGCCCCCACTCAAAGTGGGCGCCAAAACAGCGCCGCTTCCCATTGGCCGATGGAAAAGCAGCCGTAGTCACTTCGCGTCGCGGATTGGGCGAACTGTCATCCGGGTGTTCGCCAATGAGATTGGCAAAAGAGAGACGCGACAGCGAGGCGGGCCAATCGCAGCGGGCCCGGCTCAGCCGGAAGCACCGTGCCAGGCTCTGTTACCGTCGCCGCCATCTTTGCTGGGGGCAGTTTGCTTACTTTGCCGGGAAAACGCACGGAGAACGAACGGGAAGCGGGGCGTCTCGGCGCTCGGTAGCGACGAACGGGCTGAGCGGTCAAAAACCGCCACCGCAACGGCCCCGACGGCCGGCGTCACCTCCGAGCTTCTGCCCTCACCCAAGATGGCGGCCGGGGGGCGGTGCCGGGGGCGGTGGAGCGGCGTCCGGCGGCGGAGCGGCCGCGCCCGCCCTCAGCAGCAGCAGCGGTAGCGACTCCGCGCCACGCGCCGCGCCGCCGCCATGGTGAGGCCTGGGGGGCGGCGGGGCACCGCGGGGGGAGCGCCGCAGGGGGCGGCGGAGCTCGGGGCCGTAACGCTGCCCGGGCCGAGGCGCCGCTGACGCGGCTGTTTCCTCCCGCAGTTCTCCTTCAACATGTTCGACCATCCCATCCCCCGCGTCTTCCAGAACCGCTTCTCCACGCAGTACCGCTGCTTCTCGGTGTCCATGCTGGCCGGGCCTAATGACAGATCAGATGTGGAGAAAGGCGGGAAGAGTATGTGCCTGTTTTCTTTGACTTGTAGCCCGTCCGGGTTGGGCGGCGGGGCGGGCCGGGCGCCGGGCCGCGGTCACGGCAGGGGCTGCGCGGAGCTGCTGGGAAAAGAGCCGTCCGGGCTGCGGGACGGGGGGGGGGGGGGGGGGGGGGGGGAGCGCGAGCCGGGCCGCCGTTCTGCCGGGTTCGGGCGCGGCCGTGACAGCGCGGCGAGCCGTGACGGATCCTGCGTGATTTCTTGCTCAGAAAGGAGTTTGTGCGAGTTTTCAGAACAAACGTAACCGCGGTGATGATGAAATTGTGTTACATTTTGTTTGTGCAGTCGTAATTTTCCTGATCTTGCTTTCTTTTTCATATCTGCAGTAATTATGCCACCGTCTGCTTTGGATCAGCTCAGTAAGTGAATGTTTGGTTCTGGACTAACAGCGTTATGAAAGGAAAAGAGCAGAAATACGTGAGCAGATATATTACCAAATAGCACAGCAGTTTGGATGTCTGCTTAGTCCTGATCAAATCAAGAACGTGAGATAAGTTCATTAGAAGGTGTAGCCGTGAGGTTTTGTGCAGGTGAGAAGCCGGGCGGCAGCGGGCTGCCTGTGGCTGCGTTCAGACACACCGCTGAGGCGTTGGGCTGCTCGAGAGGTGAGCCCGTATTTATGGACTGCTGGTAACAGAGTGGTCAGCCAACGGTTTCTTATCTCCGCCTGCTGGTTCTGGGCGCTGTTGTCTGAAGGAAATCCTGTCTTCAAAAAGAAAATGTGAAAATGAACATTGAAAGAGCTGAGGCTGTTTATTGGGCTCCTTAGTTCAGGCCTTTTTTTCACCCTCTGAATTGTAGTCTTTATTCTTAAATTCTGACATAATAATTTTTTATCTTTAATAATTTTTTATCTTTAAAATAGGCAAGAGATGATGATATTAACTAGGTAGGAGCTAACTGATCATAGCAGAAGGGTGTAACAATAATACATTCCTGTACTAAAATAATACCCAGTGCCTGCTCATCTCTGAGCTCAGGGTGATGTGAGTGCTAATCCCAGATCTTGGTGTAAACTGAGGCATTTAAGCTCAAAGTGCAGTGGTAATACAGCGTCATGTATCTCCATTCTCTCCTGATATGTAGTTTTGAGAAGCTGAAATAATGGTGTGAGGGAAATCCTTTCCTATGCCATGGCTCATGCTTTTGCAAATGTTCAATCTGTGAAAACTTCAGAACTGTGCTGTATTTTTTTTCTCATCTCTCTCAGGCCGACTTAATATAACTTATCCAATGCTGTTTAAACTGACCAATAAAAATTCAGACCGAATGACGCACTGTGGAGTGCTTGAATTCGTGGCTGACGAGGGCATATGTTACCTGCCACACTGGGTGAGTTGTCTTATGCTGAGCTGTCAGAACCTGAAGAGCAGGATTAAGGAGCTGCCGGGGTAATATTAAAGAGATATAATGTTTCTTGAAATTGCCTGTCTTTGCTAGTCATGATCCTAAAGCAGCTTTCAGTCACAGCTCAGGTTTCTCTCAGTGCGAGTTTAACCAAAACAAAGCAGGATGTTACTTAGGATGCACCTGTTTTCTTCCTGAAATTAAAACACAGCAATTTGGTGCATTTCAGGGAAGACAGTGGCTTTGGCAAAATGAAGAGAATTAAAAACTGTGTTAATATAGTGGTTTGTATCTTTTCATTCTCACAGATGATGCAGAACTTGCTGCTGGAAGAGGGAGGCCTGGTACAAGTGGAGAGTGTTAATCTTCAAGTTGCCACTTACTCAAAATTTCAACCACAGAGTCCAGATTTTCTCGACATCACCAATCCCAAAGCTGTGTATCCTTTCATTGATGGAGAAGGGAAGAAAAGTTTTCTCCCAAGTTGTAATGATGCAGAGCTATCTTTGTGGGCACACCTCATGGTTTTCTGGTGGTAGGTAGCACTACTGCCATTTCTGAAAAACAAAGAAAAAAGAGCTTATGTTGCAAAATGTTGACACAGAGTGTATCCTGGGGTATAAATAAGCATGAGCCTTGGCTGAAAGTCCCCTGAGTTTAAAAGTGTCCTAGAGAAGAGCATCTACAGAAGGATTTGTATACCTTAATGTTCATTAAAAGGCAATCTAATTTACTGATGGTTTTAAAACGTGTTTGAGAGAACAAAGATCAGAGTTTCATAGCATAGTAACTGTAAAGCTTTGATCTTTCACTGGAAAAATAAATCTTAACATACTCCAAAGATTAGAAAATGCATTGAGAAACTTTGCTTGTCTAACTACTGGAGATGTTATTGCCATCAACTACAATGAAAAGGTACAGTATGCAGCACCATCCAATGTAGGTTTCATTTATATACCATCGATCTGGTGAAACAAATTCAGTTCCATGTAAAGTACTTCATAGTTGAGTATTGTGGCCGCATAAATACTTTGACTACATCTTGTGATAGATAGATAGATAGATAGATAGATAGATAATTTTAGATGTGAGTTAGTAGGTGAAGCTTTTGACAGCACACATGTTGATCATTTTGGGATTGTAGACTAAGCACAATTCTTGATGCCTAAATAATCAGCATAGAGTTGTATAATATTGGCAAATAATCACAAATGGTAGATTTTGCAGTCAGTTTGCTGTTGGAGAAAGAAAGAGGTCAGTTCAGTCATCTTTTTACCCACAAGGTGGGGTAAGAATACTGCTGATGTTCTTACAAATCATGAGAAAAAATTATTCTGAATACAAAATTTAATTTCAGAAGTGCAGATGAAGGTACAGTAAGAGTGCAGCATGATAGAGTCTAGGTAGGTTCACTACTGCATATATGTAGCATCTTCAATAAAAATCTTTGTTGTCATGTTTTCTAGAGACTCTGAAGTATTCAGTCCTTAGTCTAGAGAGCACTTCAGTTTGTTTGAAGGTTTCTGAAGGGAGGGATTTAGCTATGGTTTTCTTACATGTAAGATAAAATGCATCCATTTTAAGATGTGCAATCTTAAAATATTCAAAACTGTTTCAGATCTACGAGCTTCGGGTAATGGAGACCAAGCCAGATAAAGCTGTGTCCATCATAGAATGTGATATGAATGTAAGTTACTACTACTGTGGGAAGTCTGGTTTTACTGTGCCTTTGCAAAAGGAGAGGGCATCTCAAACTGGTAGCACTGGGCACTAGGAGAGGTAGCATCAGACAGGATAGGGAAGGTGACTCATTGAAGAGCGCCTCTGTAACCACATCTCTGCTCAAGTGCTACACTTATGTGCCATCAGGCGACTCTGGTGCCTGGAATGTTATATTTAGATTCAACACGTTTTATAATCTGAAGAGTCTTATTTAACAACCTTGTGTTGATTAAATCTCCGATGGCACTGAGTTCTGTTGTACTGATCTGTTTCAATTACATGCTAAGGTTCATCCCTGGGGAGGCTTTTTGTTTATATATGTATATTTAATATTAAAGCCTCAGTTTTTCCTTGTGATTTCTAGATTAGGGTTGGAACAATAGTTTGTGGATTCTGAGGAATAGTAGTATAAAACTTACGATTGAAAGAGAAATACTTGTGCTTCTTTACCCTATGTCAATAGGTGGATTTTGATGCTCCTTTGGGGTACAAAGAACCAGAAAGAAGTGCTCAACATGAAGAGACCACAGTACGTTAAGCTTCTGTTTTGCAAATTGTGTTCCCTAGTAATCTGCCTCCGTTGTGAGGGAGCAGTGTGTACCAATATATGTATATATTTTTTTCCTGAAACAACTTAAGTCTAAAACTTACTGACCTGATGCTTTTGCTTGAGAGATGGTTGTTTAACAGCTGTTAGCTTTTGGAAATGGATTTTTCTAAGGCTTTGTTTGGTCAGAAGTTTATGGAGCAGTTTACATTTATTTTGCTTATCACAACATGAACACCATGAAGTAACTTGTTTTTTGTCTGCCAGGATGTTGAAGCAGACCACAGTGGTTATGTGAGCGACGTAGGATTCCGTGTAAGTCCTCTCTTTCTGCTCTTTTCTGAATGTTGTGAATGGTGAGGGAGGGTTGGGGTGTGGTTGTCATTAACCAGCAGCTGTCTGCAGATGCTTTGTGGTGTTTACAGCCAGTGACAGTATGACTTGTCCTTAATGTGCCAGTCCAAAAACAGCTGGAACAAACTCCTACAACCAGGGTTTATCAGCTTACTACATGTACAAAAAAACCATTCTGAATCAAACTAAAGATTATAGAAGGCTTTTTGGTGGTGTTTTTTTATTATAGCAGAATGTAATATCCCTGTGCTTTCAAATACGAGCTGCTATTAAATTAAAGCTCACATTTGTATACACAGGCATTCTCTGGCTCTGGGAACAGGTTGGATGGCAAGAAGAAAGGTGTTGAGCCCAGTCCGTCACCAATTAAACCAGGAGACATTCGAAGGTATGTTTTTTTTCAGTTGTCAACAAATGAAGGATCAGTGTTTGAGAACAGTGTTTCTTCTTTAATGTATTTATGCCTCTTTTCCAGAGGAATACCCAACTATGACTTCAAGATTGGTAGAATCACGTTCATTAGAAACTCGCGTCCGCTGGTTAAGAAAGTGGAAGAGGTCAGTGAAGTTGGGTGCTGCCATTTGTGCACAGAACTAGAAGGTTCAAGCCATTGTCCATGTTTGTTTCCTCTCTCCATACTCAATTTTTCCCAGAACACTTATGTTATGAAGATGTATTAGTGAGTTTGCTTTAGATTAAGCCTAAAGCTGATGTGAGCTGATGTGAGATTGGACCGATGCAAGCTGAATGAGCTCGTGAACGCTTGTTGCAGATGGTGCGTCGTGGAAATGCTAGTGTTTCATTTTTGGAAAGAAAGCAGTAATTGTGTAGATTAAGGATGTGAAAGATGGATGGTCTTTTGCCACTCTGATGGAGTATTCTTTATAACAATCGCTCAGCTTTGATCATTCTCGAGCAGTGAGCAGAGAGGTGATGCCCTTTTTTCTCTGCATCCAGGATGAAGCTGGCAGCCGGTTCATTGCCTTCTCAGGGGAGGGGCAGTCCCTGCGCAAGAAGGGAAGAAAGCCCTGAGGTGTGGGACCCTCATTCTGCCAGGAGGAAAACAAAATAAGAATTGCAGCATATTGGATGTTAGTTATTGCAGTTGCAAGACAAGAACGCTGCGCTGTCAGGCGGTGTTGATTTTCACTTGAAAATTAAGTTCTAGGAATTCTTTGAGTTCTAGGGATTTTTTTCCTGTGCAGTGCAAAGGGGGAGGTGTGTCCTGGTAAGTGTGAGAAGCAAAAGCAGCTCTTAGCAAACGGCCTGCCCTCTTCTCTCCTGGTGCCGGCGCTCTCGTGTGGCTGTGCTCAGTACTTTCTCCTCCGTGTCGGCACCGTGCAGGTGAGCTTTGTGCTGTGGTGCAGCCCTGCGTGTGGGGTGATCGTAGCTCCAGTGCTGGGATGTGATGCAGCCCAAGGAACTCAGGTTCTGATGCTCTTTATAATTAGTAACATGCCTCGTAATAACTAGAGAACCTCTTGTTGCAATCTGGGGGGAGACAGCCGCCTCACCTCAGGCACGGGACTGCTCGGGGAGGTGGGATCTCAGTAATAAACAAAGCTGCGCTCCTTCCTCAGTCGTGGCGTACAACCTGAAGTAAACGTTCCTAAATAACCAACGTGCCGTGCCGGAGTGCTGCTTTCCGGGGGGAAGGGAGGGGAGGTGGGCGGCGGTCGGGCTGAGGGGGGCGGGGCCGCGGCGGGGTCACGTGCTTAGCACGCAGCCCCGGGGCGGCCATTAGCCGAAGGGCGCGGCGACGCGACGGCCGCTTTGTGCCGCCCCGCGCCATTGGCCAGGCGCGCGGGCCGCTCCTGTAAGCGCGGCGGCGATTGGCGGCGGAGCGCCGAGAGGGACGAGCGGCGGGGACGGCATGGCCGGCGCTGAGAGCTGGCGGGTGAGCGGGGGTCGGCGGGCGGCTCCCCTCGGCCTCGCGGCTCCTTTCCCCTCAGCGTCCGCTCTGTCCGCAGCCTCCGCGGCCGTGCGAGGACTACTGGTGGGAGTGGAAGCACTGCCGAGGGCTGCGGCACGCCTTCCACCACTACTACGCGCACGGAGAGCTGCCCGCCTGCGGCCGCTGGCGAGACGACTACGCCGCCTGCCGCGCCTGGGAGAAGGACCGCGCCGCCGCCGCGCGGGTACCGCCGGGTCTGGGGGCGGGGAGGAGAGCGGAGGGGACGGGACGGGAGGGGCTGCGCTGCATGTGCTGCCTGCGGCGCCGGGGTCTGCACAGCGGCCGTGTGCGTTTCAGGAGGCGCTGTGCGAGAGCGAACGAGCGCGGGTCCTGGAGCGGAAGAAGCACGGCGCGGTGTGGGCGCTGCGGAGCAGCCCGCCGCCCGACTGGCACCGCCCGCTGCAGGACGGCGCGGCCAAGTAGCGGCGCTGCCCGCGGGGTCTGCCGTCACCTGCCGCGCCGCTGCCCGCCCGCACTTCGGTTCCGGTCAGAAAACGTAGTAATAAACACCCGCTGTGGGACGAAGTCAGGCGCTGAGTTTGATTCGGGTCCCGTGCGGGCGTTCGGCTCTCAGCGCAGCAGCACCGCAGCCGGCGGCACGGCGCGGCACGGCACGGCCCGGCACGACGCGGCGCACCGCCGGGTGGGGACGTGGAACCGAGCTGGGACCGCATCCCGCCGGCACGGGACTGGCACAGCGCGTTCGGAAAGCATTGCCTGGTTCGGCCCCGCCGTGTGAGAGCTCCTGAGCGCTGTGGACTGAAATACGGCCGCTGCTGGAGAGCAGCTCTTGAACAGCGGCGTGCGTTCCTTCTGTTTACTACGAAAATAAAGTTTTAACTGACCAAAGCGAGATCTGTTTTGGCTTAGGGCAAACGCTACCAGAGACTTACTGCATTCTTTACCAGGTAATAAAGAAGCTATTTTCCCTTTGTCAAGGGAAAAATTTTCCATCCCTTTTCCCTCTGTTATATTAAAAACCACTGAAATCTGAAGCAGAAAAAGGCAGTGATCAGTCAGCCACTGCCTCCCTGCTGGTATGGTCTCATGTGATGACTGCAGTGTTCCTCCCTCACATTTTAAGAGCTTTTGTATTTGTGGTTTATGCAGAGCAAAACCAGCGCTCCGCAGGAGCACATGGAGAGATGAGGCACAGCTCTGCTGCATGTTTTATTACATAGCTTGGCAGTTTAAAAAAAAAATCAAATACACTTAGAGGATTTTCTATTCATTAGTTTTTACAGTCACACGCCTACTGTGTTTGAACATGCCAAAGGAACCAGCAGTTCTCATTCCATCCTTCAGTCGGCCGAGCAGCTCACGCCAGGTGAAAAGGAACCCCATCACTGCGTGTACACCTTGGTGATATCGATGCACTTTCCTTCAGGAGGATCATAACCAGGAAGTGCTGGGGTATAATCAGGTCCGTCTCTCTCAAAGGGGAACAGCTCCTCGTCCCGTCTGACTGCTGCCTGGTAGAGCTCCTCAGATTCCAGGCGCAGTTCTTGTAGTGCCTCTTGCTGAGCTTCTACGAGGCTCCGAATTGCTTCCTTCTCTGCCTTGTCTTGTTGCTGCTTATACAGAGACCACTTTTTCATAAGTAAAACTCTTCTTTCGGTCTCCTCAAATGAGAGAGGAGGAAGGCTTCGCACCCTGATGGGGAGGAGTGTGACACTGTAATAGGGAAAGTGCCCGCACCCCAAAAAGCAAAATAAAAACCACCACCACAACTCACCATACATCTAAAAAAACCCAGAATATATTTCTGTCACGCCATGCCTGTCTTGGAGGCTTCCCACAGGCATTCCAACAGCACATTCACACAACTGTGTTTTGGGTTTTTAGCAGAAACAAATGATATTTACTTTCCACATTTTTATCAGCAGCACCTCACACAAAGGCTGGCACTACACCGCAGCGTGGTGGAGAAAGAAGAAGTGTGTTTGCACCACGAATGCAAGCTCAAGGTGACAGGCAGTCTTACTTACCTGTTGCTATCTGAAAACTTCACTGGGGTTTCAAAATCCTCAATGGGAATCAGTTCTGGAGCAGCTTTTTCCAACTTTTTAATCTTCTTTTTCACACGATCCTTCTGTGCTTGCTCTCTCTTTGGATCCACTTTCTTTTTCTTCTTTGGTTGTGCTCTAGCAAGATAAATACATGAATATAAGAAGATATCGCTCTCACTGAATCCAATCTAACATCCACTTAATGTTCCTAGGAACTGTTATTTCCCACTGCTTAATTTGGTCCTTGATAGTCATTCCAGCCATTACTTTTACTCAAAGAAAGCAAAATAGTTTCTGTGAGACAGCAGCAGGTGCTGTGAGACTTTCTGTAGACAGAGCCATACCTGCCTGAGAAGCCCTACCATGAGATCCGTGCTACAGCGCAGCATTTCTGACTTGAGGAAATTCCACTGAGATTGAAGTGGGATTGGCTCCTGCTAGCTCAGCACGCAGCAGAGCAGGAAACGTGTTGAGCTACAAGCATTCCTGTCACCTCACATTAAGGAGGTCGGAGAGGGTGGTTTTACACGTCCTTTTAACACTTCCACATTTGGAAGCAAATTCAGGGAGCGAGCATTTCTCTGCCGTTGTGCTCACCGCACCAACTACTGTATGCAAGGCAGCGTGTGCCACGCTCCACAAAGACAAGGAGCCCAACGCCAGCAGAGGGCCTGCAGGCTACCGGCAGGAGGGCCGGAGCTTCACGATCCTTGCGGTCCCTTCCAACCCAAGGCTTTCTATGATTCTGTGGCTGCCCTTCCTGCCACACAGAGGGGAACTCTGAGCGTCCATGGCGCAGCCAGTAATTTACCCTGTGCCACCGCACAGACTCATACTGCAGCAAAAGCACTCCCAGTTCCCACTTCGCAGCTCCAGTGACCACAGCAGGCCCGCACGCGTGCACAAAGCGCTGCGGGCCCACGCGCGCACAAAGAACCTTCCTGATGCGAAGCGGCCTCTCCGAGGGCGGCCGCTGCCTGGCGGGATGCTTTCAGCTGAATTACATCAACACGAAACGGAGACACCGGAGCGCGACGTTCGGCGACGGGTCCGTAAGGCGCCACAGGGCGCTGCGCTCACCTGGCGGGCAGCGACGCCGTCCCGGCCAGCAGCGCCGTGTCCCAGTGGCTGCCGCGGCACGGGGCCGGGCGGGGCAGCCGGGAGCTGCGGGAGGAAAGGCACAGCGTGAGGGAGAACGGGCCGGCCGCGCGAGCGCCGCACGGGGGGCAGCCGTCGGTGCCGAGCCGCGGTGCCGGATCACGGCGGGGTTCGGGAAACGCGGCCCAGGAGTTCACACAGCGGCCCTCTCGCCGCGGCCCGTTCGGGGCAACGAAGCCGAAACGGGGACGAGACCCCCGCCCCGGCCCGGCTGCGGGCGCGCCGCTCGGCGGGAAGGGCCGAACCCGGGGCCTCACCCCGCCGCCCCGGCCGCTCCGCGTCCTACCTGAGCCCCCGCGCGGCCGCCAGCATGGCTGCGTGCAGCTGCCGGGCCGCGCTCCCACGCCGCAAACGCCCCGCCCCGCGCAGGCCGCGCCTCCGCAGCCCCGAGCGCCTCCCGGGCCGCCCCGCGCGGTCACCCGGCGCGCCCCGCGGCCGCCGCCGGTACCTCCTGCCCGGCAGGGGGCGCTCGGCCCGGCCCGGCCCGGCCCGGGGGGGCGGAGCGGCGGCCCTCGCGGGATCTCGCCCCCCGGCGGCCGAGGCGGGGGAACGCCGGGGCTCGGGGGCGGCTGTTTCCCGCCGGGCCGGTTTGGCGGTTGCCAGGCGCCGAGTTCCGGCGTTCGCCGGGAGCCGCCGGGAGCCGAGAGCGGGGGATGCGGCCGGGCGGCGGCGGCTGCGGCACGGGCGGCGCCGGGACATGGAGCGGCGCTGAGGCGGCTCCGGGCGGCGGAGGGGGCGGGCAGAGCGGCGCGGCGCTGCCCGGCGGCCGCTGAGCTCCGCCGCTCGGTCGCTCGGCCGCGCGGAGGCAGCCCGGGCGGAGCCGCCCTGGGGTCCCGAGGGCGGAGGCCGGCGGGGGACCCCGGGCGGGAGACAATGAAGCTCCTGAAGCCGACCTGGGTCAACCACAATGGTGAGGGCGGCAGGTGCCGCGGGCCGGGCGGGGCCGGGCGGGCGGGGGTGCCGGGGAGCGCCGGGCAGCGCCGGGCACGCCGCCTCCGGCCCGGGCCCCGCGGGCGGCGCTGAGGCGCGGCGAAATGGGAGCGGGGTCCGTCCGGGCCGGGAAGATGGCCGCGGGGAGCGCCGGCGGCCGCGGGGCGCTCCGAACTGCTCCGCGCTGCCGCGGCCGGGAGCGTGCGGCTGCGAGCGTGCGGCTGCGCCTCCCCGCGCCGGGCAGCCCGGCGTTACGCGGCTGCGGGACTTGAAACCGGCTTCCGGAGCGCCGCGTTGGGACGGAGCGCCGCGCGGAGAGCTCCGCTGTGGCCGCGTTGCCCTCCCGGCCGCGCTCGGCTCCCGCTCCCGGCGCCGGGTGAGACCGGCTGAGCGGCTGTGCCCGCGGCTCGGCCTCCGATCGTCCCGCGGCGCCGGGAATGGCTGCCTGAGCCTGGAGCTGGAGCTGCCATACGGCCGTGCTGCGCTGCTCTCCGCGGGGCGGCCGTGCGGCGTGGGGTCGTGGCGATCGGAAAGAAAGTGGAAGCGCTGTACTGAGATGTTTGTTACGTCCCTGCTCGATTAATCTGAACCGAAGCAGCGTTCGTGCCTCGGTCTCCGGCCGCTCGTGTGCGGGCTCTCCGGCGCTGCATGGCTGCTGGGAGCCCACCTGTCAGCAGCTGGGAGCGAACTTCTGGCCTGCACCTCTGCAGGTCGCAGAGAGCAATGGCTGTTCCCCGTGTTTCTTTAATGGGTGCACTGCTCCGCTATGGGCGTGTGTTTGGGAACTGTTGTAACTTTTGGCATTAACTTGTGAACTGTAGAAAAGCATCCTCTGCCGAGCAGCCTGCTGCGAGCTTTTGTTTAGGAAGGCTGTATCTCACGGGTGATGCAGTACAAGGCTTTGGTAGCCCCACGTTTTGTCTCCATTTTTGCCACTGTCCTCCTGGGATGAGTTTGGGCAAGTCAGTTTGTAATGCAGGTGGTGAAACCCTGCTGGACATTCATCACTGGTTTCATCTGTGAGCCGCTTTAAGGGCTGTGGCACACAGAGCTGTCTGACACTCTCACCCCATCCTCCTCGGGGCAGGGAACGCAGGATCAATCAGGTGAGGTCAGGCAGGTGATTCTAATCTACCAGGGTTCCAGATCCGCGGGCATTGCCGCACGTTAGCCATTTCCATCACCTTTAACAGGCTGCACGTTACTCTGGTACCTCCCTAGAGGTGGGGGTGGTTCCTGCTGTGGGCTCCCTGTCCATAGCTCTTGTTCCTTTTGCTTTCACTGCTGCCAGAAGTGCTTGCTTCCCTGCTGTTGGTGTATGAGCAAGAGTCAGGATCCCAGGATGGCTCCTCTGTGCGCTGGTTCTTTGCTGTCATTCCTTCCTTCCCCTTTACCTGCTCAGTTTTGGGACTTGTGCTTTACTCAACAGGCTGGAAGCAGCTGAAGGATGCTGGCAGGCATGCATGGCAGCTCTGTGAGATGGCAGCCATGGGGAGTCAGGGTTGCAGCAAGTACATTCAGTGCACCTGGGCTTCTCAGCCCAGACTGTGTGTGTTCCCTCTAAGAGCACTTCGCATGTTTTGGCTCTACAGGTTTTTGTCTTAGCGTTCTTAATGAATGAGTGCCTATTGGAAATACTTCTTCAAATGGATTTTCTGTAAGCTTTTCGCACTATTAATGCCAGTTTATTAGATATTATGTAGATATTCAGCTGGGGTTTGGTTCTCCCCCCCATTTCCTTTCGGTACCCGTATGAAGGTACACAGCGCAGCTGTATGTGCACGTTTGGCACACAGCTGCTTGAGAGCCCTGGTCTGTAGCAGTGGCACGTGCTGAGCCCTCTTGGGAAGGAAGTCCTGTGAGATTCTGAGAAATCTCTGCAACACCCAAGGTGCTGCTGGTGTTTACAGCTTGTAGGAATTGGAGCTCACTTTGCTGAAACGTAGGCACAGAGTTTATCATCTCTTCAAGCTGTAATGGTGGAAGGTAAATATTTAAATGGATATGTGAGTCACATAGGGTGTTGTGTCTTGGATGGGCTGCAAGGAAAATAAATAGAATCTCACATATTGGAACTTTGCGTAAAATTGTCTTTTTATTTTAGCGATTATTGCATAGAAGTAACAAACCACATGATGTTTTATGGTCTGTCAGAAGGTGTTCTGGTTTCAGTGGATCTGGTTTGCTGCCTCGTGCTCTGTGTTATGGGGAGCTTAAATAGCTTCAACAAATTGTTTATAAATTATTACAAGAGGGGAAAAATGTCCTAAACCCCACTGTTAAATTGCAGTGTTACTGTTTAAGCATCACGTGCATCTTATTTTCGTGCTTGATGACTGGTATGAGTGAGAACTTCTCCAGTGACAGCATGGCAAGGCACTCGGATGCTTTGGGAGAGGAACCTGGTGCATTCGTGTCTCAGCAGTGACCAACAACGCCATCAGATACAGACATGGAGCTGAGGAGGGCGGCAGTTGCTAATAAGTAATGTCTCCTCCTTTGCAGTGCTGTTTAACTGCAGCCACCCAAGCTCTGAAGTGCTGTCTGTGCTGCTCTGGGGGCCGCAACTCCCCTCTTATTGAGAGCTTTGTTCCTTCTGACTCACTGGGAATCATTGGGTTCCTGGTTTTGTGAGTGATGCAGAGGCAGGGTGAGCAGGTTAGTACCTGGCTGAAGACCTACGGAGGCCTTTAGGATTAAAGGGCTTCCTGTACTGTCAGGGCTAACGGCACGGCACACATGGTGACTTCGGGTGTGAGGTTATCCATGCAAAGGTAATCTCTTCCACTTGTAACATCTGTAGAGGGAGCTGTTCCTGTGTCAGTGGCTTAAACTAGTTTAAACAGTGTGCTGGTTTAATGTAAGGGAACTTTTGCACCTTGGGAAGGGCAAAATCAATGTTTGCTTCCTACCTGTGCTTCTCCAAGTGCTCAGCCGTTTGTATGGCGTACAAGATGGTAGGGAAAGAAGAATGGAGTCAAGCACGACCTCAAGAAAGGCCACGGCTGAATCTCAATTTGTGCTTTATGTGATTTAGAGGACTGGGAAGGAGTGCAAGTGGAGTCCTGTCTTAATCTGGTGAAGGTCTTTGCTTGGCTGCCTGTAAAACTCTTAAGGGGAATCACATGTCATTGTTGCAACACAAATCCAAACAAACTAAACCTCAAAACAAGTCAGTGTAAAGAAAATAGATGAAGCAGAACACACATCCCTCAAACAGTAAGAAGTACTGGGACAAGGATTTTGTTTACAGTTCAGTGTCAGAGAAGCCAGATGGTATAGTTGCAGCATAAACCCATGGTTGGAGAATCTAGTTAAATTCTCCAGGATTTATCAACAAAACAACAAAGGACAGAAACCAAAACCTTGCTTCAGGTCATCAGCTAATGAGCTACAGAAACCTGGAAGAAATTCTGTACCCAAGTGTGATTTTACGTTGATGGTGCAACTGTTGTGGTGTTACTTTGCTCTGGGCCATTTGGCATATCCTGCAGGATTACATCTCCTTCTTCATCTCTGGTTCGTTTATGGCACGGTAACTTCCATCTGCACTAATAGTTGTTCTTTTCTTCAGATTGCTTTCAACTCTCCTACTCAGCTGTATGTCTTATAATTGCTGCTTTTAGAAGAAAAATGCTGTTTGCCCACCTGAAGGGTCATGGATCTGCTGGCACGGCTGCCTTCTGCTAACTGTGAAACAATTCAGTGTGTTTCTTGTTCTCTGATTGCAGGAAAGCCCATATTTTCAGTGGACATTCACCCAGATGGGACCAAGTTTGCAACAGGAGGACAAGGTATGCTTCCACCCTGAGGAGGTCGGGCCCCTCGGCCACAATGACCTCATGCCCTCACAGTGCTTCCATCTTCCCGACCCATTTACAAACACATCACATAACTGTCTGTATCTCAGAGGCATCACTTGTTAGGACGTATAGAAAAGCCTGCTGTTATGCAGAAGGCAGAGCTACGTTCCCTACGCATCCTCCTGGATGTCGGCGGGGTGGTACTGCAGCAGATGAGTAGTGGCCGTGATGGCCAAATTTCTTTTTCATCTGAAGAGGACCTGAGTGTTTGAACTGCTAAATAGAAAAATCAATGTGTATAAAGGGAATGGCTCAAGAAATGTGTGCAGAATTATTTGCTGTTGTCATCCAAATAATAATTTTGTTGGCTATAATAATTGCCTTTTAGATTTTGAATGTATGTCTTTATTTGTTAAATACAATTTTACTGTATAAATAGTTGGTGCCCATAGTTGTCATTGTTACTTGAAGTTATGTTGTTACATATGAGTGATTATTTTTTATCACAGCTTTGTAACTTAATTTTCAGTACAGTACTTCTGTGTAACTGTATCAGAATGGCATCCAT